CGGTGGCCTGCACCACACTGTGACTGCACTAAATGCCACTGAATTGTATACTTTAAGATGGTTAATTGTATGTCATGTGAATTTTGCCTCAACCAAAAACATTAAATCCTAAAATAATCTAATTATGTGATTGAAAACATTTCTTCTGGGGTGAAATACACTCTCTTTTGAGTTAGTCTTCCAAACTGTCCCCAGGCTCCTTAGGAACTACCTGAAAGTTTTTTCAGAAATGTGTGAATTCTCTGGTCTTCCAACCTCATCAATCAGCACCACTACCCACCCAGTCGCACAGCTACAAAACTAGGAGAATCCCCAACGCCTCATATTCCTCGTTTTCCCACAGCCAATCTAGCACCACGTGCTTCCTAATCCTTCTCACGTCTGTCCACCCTCCTCCAGCTCCACTTCCACCACACCAATGCACACTCCTCTCAGCACATACCCAAACCACTGCAGCCCTTACTAACTAGTCCCCCTGATCTTTTCAAACTGCATTCCTGACCCCGAGCCCCCACTTTAACCCCGTCAAGTGGCCCTCAAGCCCCTGCAGGGTCGCTCATGCCTGCTTCTCCTGCCTCAGCAAACACCACTCCTCCTCTGACATTCTGAGCTCCAGCAACACGGGTTCTCTTTAATTCCTTGGATATGCCACACTCCCTCCTGCTACAGACATGTTCCCTCTGTCTCAAATACTCTTCCACCTGATCCCCTCTTCTGCTGACTTAACTCCTACTCATCATCAAGAGTCACTTTCTCCAGGTGGGAGTCAGGTTCCTTTGTTACAAGCTCTCAAGGACCACGTTCCTTTTCTTTAGAGCACTTATCTCAATTCATCATTACATGCTCATAAACGCAGGTCGTTAATTCATGTCGGTCTCCTCCATTATGCTGAAAGCTTCGTGAAAGCAAAGACCACATCTGTCATTTTAATTTAATTCCCCAGAACCCAATACAGCACCCAGCACATTAAAAAAAAAAAAGAAAGAAAGAAATGTGTTGAGTTACTGATACTCCAGCTCCAAAGCCCTTGTAATATTAAAAAGGAGAAGAAAACCTATTTGGGAATATAAAATAAGGAAAGGAAGATTAAAGATGTAAAGATTATAACTTTCTCAATATGCAAAATTGACCACAGATACAAAAGGCCAAAAGATATCTCAAGGTCCATCAATACCAAAAACATCCAATCTATAAACAGAATGATCTAGGTTAGACAGACACAGTTCCTGTGAGATTTCTAAAAATGAATAATGTAAGGCAGTGAGGACTGCAACATAGAGACAAGAGGACTCCGTGAGAACGGAACAGCCTGTACCACACACAGATCTAGTCCAGTCGTGAAGGTTTGCAGAAGATCCCATTTTCTAATTCCTGATAACACAGTCACAGTTCTGGACTGCTTAGTGCTTCTTGTCTGATCCCCATCTCAGCACACTTCCCTGGTGTGTTTTTTTATGTTGCCTTAGGGCATGTGCAAAATGCAAAGATATATATTCTCACCAGGGTAAGAATAGGGAATAAGCTGTTAGAAAGCAAGGATCCCCCCACCCCTTTAAGTTTTACAGGCGTATTTGCTATATCTCAGAACTTAAATGGAGAAGGAATATGAAGACAGCTAACACACCCAGAAACTAAGATGGCAACCTGTGAGTGGGGAACAGTCCTGCCGTGTAGGCAAGAGGCTGAGGAATAAGGAAGACACACCCAGGCTCCCCATCCCCCACTCAGTCAGCACCACGGCCAGTCTGAGGGAACGTCCCCACTCCTTGGCTAAGGCTGGTCTTAAGCCCCGGCACAAAAAGCACCCACATGTCCCTGGACAGAACACCAGTCTCATGTGACCCTCTGCAAATCTCCTACTTGTGGAAAAGATGTCCACAGGGCAGTTTCCTCGCAGCCTGCATGGAGTCCCAGCAGATGGCACAGTCATCGTTATTGACAGCCAGCTCCTCTGGAGTTGCAACCGCAAACCTGTAAAAAACAAAGTGCAACTGGCAGGGATCTCCGTCAATTTCACGCACAAATACTGAGCACCACTTACTTCATAGACTTCACCTTTAACAGCACAGTTATAGAGGAATCGTGTTCAGTAAAAATTCTCCACCCATGAAAAACATTACACCTGCATTCTCTTCATAGCCCACCAAAGAGCAAGAAATCTATACACAGAAACTGACTCTGTCTTAACAATGGCTCCTGTTAGTGATGACTTAAGCGAACATTTCTGGGTAAATCAGAGGAGTTGAGACCCCTCAGAGAGCCAAACTGTTCCCTTGGACACAAAAAGGATACCCACTGATCTCACACTTTCAAGCTTGGTTTAGCCTCAGGATGGCAAGTGAGTACCTCCTCCACTGAGGTTAAGAGTATGAGAGAGAGTATGTGTGTGTGAGCACGCATGCGTAAGGAAGAAAAAGGGCAAAAACCAAAGGAAACATCCATTTAATAATAATGATGATAAAAATAATGACCTAATAAAAGAACCTAATCTTTACTGAGCACGTACTATGTAACCAGTACTGTTCTAAGTAATATTATGTTCATTATCCCATTGAATCCTCCCAACAGTTCCAGGAAGAAGGTTCTGCTATCATCCCTAGACTTAAGCAACTGAGGCACAGGGAGGTAAGTAAACTGCCCAAAATCACACGGCAACTAAGTGGGGCTTCAAACCCAGGCAGTCTGACTCCAGAGCCTATACTCTTCACCATTCCATTAACAGTTTACAAAAGCAGGTTCTCGTATAATCTGGGACCTATTATTATTAAAGATCTCAAATGAGTCAACATGACCAACGTCAACTTGTGCTTACTTACCTGGCTTCCATGTTTCCAACCACTCGCAAATAGTTCTTGTGCCGGCGGATTCGACGTTGTACCTCATGAAACAGGTAACGCAGCTGCATAAAGATGACCAAGCTGGCCATGGATAACCAGATGTTGCCAAATAACTTAACAAGAGGGAAAGATAATAAAATATACAATAAAAGTGAATGTGAACTTGCTACTGCTGAGAGTGAGGTATGCAACAGAAGCTCTGAATTGTGGGCGAAGGTGTATTGGAACAGTCATTCAGAAAGCAAATGAGCATATTTCTCTCACTACCCTGAACAATGTACATGCTCTTTGGCCTAGTCATTCCATCAACAGCAATCTTTCCTGAGGAACTAATCAGAAATTTTAAAGCTTTATGCAAAATGATGCCCCTCCATGCAATTATAAAACAGAAAATCAGGAAATGGACACAATGCCCAGTAGGAATAATTATACTGTAAACTCATATAATGTAACATTATATACTCATTATATTTATTATAAAATATAATTACACCCTATTATATTTTATATATAACATTTTGAAGATTAATTACATGGGAAAATAATATTTAAGTGAAAAAAGGATAAAACTACTTTAAAAAAACTAATATGTGACAAAAAAAGGTACGCAGAGATGTCAAGTAGCAAACAACTGAATACAATCTAAATATTCTATTATGGGAGCAGGCTGTTCAATGGCTGGGGGTGGGGGAATAGGAGGAAGGTGGTCAAAGGTACAAACTTCCAGTTATAAGATAAATATGTAGTGGGGATAGACTTACAACACGATGACTATAGTTTTAACAGTGCTATATGGTATATTCCAATTAAATCATCGCACCTCTATGTCGTGGAAGTTTCATCTTAAAGGTATTAAAATGATTTAGAAGAATTTTGTTGCTAGGGCTTCCCTGGTGGCGCAGTGGTTGAGAGTCCGCCTGCCGACGCAGGGGACATGGGTTTGTGCCCCGGTCCGGGAAGATCCCACATGCACAGAGCATCTGGGCCCGTGAGCCATGGCCGCTGAGCCTGCGCGTCTGGAGCCTGTGCTCCACAACGGGAGAGGCCACAACAGTGAGAGGCCCGCGTACCGCAAAAAAAAAAAAAAAAGAACTGTTGCTAGCATAGGAAGATGTACATAATATACTAGCTACAAAAAATCTAAACTATATGCCCAATACACAATCTCCATTGATGAATGTATGGATTTGAATATATATGGATTTGAATATATATCCATAAATATATGGATTTGAATATATATATATAAAAAATATATAAACACAACAAAATGTCAACAGTTATCTCTGGATATTTGTTTGGGGGGGCCTTTTTTTTTAAAGTATGTTTTGAAAGTTACTTTTAAAAAGTAGACTTACAGAAATGTGCTACGTTTAACCCAAAAATTTTTAAATTCTACTTTGATAGGCTTACAATTTAAATAAATTGCCCACCAAATATGTTGATTGTCGCCATTCACAGATCACTGAAGTGCTAAACCAATGAAGCAGGTTTTCAGCATGGTGATTTCTTGCACACCACAGCAAGATGTAAACAATGAAGGAGGAGTAATTAAGAATAAAACTTTGTTTTTAATCACAAAGATAGATTTATGAATCCATGAAGTAGCTAACACTGTGGGAATTCCCTTTACCACCTACAAAGTAACTGTTTAATATTAGAAGGCACAGAAACTATGAGGAGAGGAATTCCCTTAATTTCATGCTAAAACCATTATCTACTGACTTGGTCAGCAGAGTCACCTATGTCTCCTAGACAGCAAACACCTCCTGAACTGGGCACCAAACTCATTCCACACTGCTTTATACCTGTTGGCCAAAAAAAAAAAAAAAAAGGAAAAAAAAAGGGAGGGGAACAGCTGCGTCGTTTTTACAGTCTTTAAGTGGGTCATCCACAAGTGTTTCACCTGTTAAACGCTGTACTAAACAGGGTTCCTGATTCTAAAAAACTTAGCTGTCTGTTAGAGCTCCTTCTGGGAAACTTACCAACATGTGAATATGATGCATGAGGTCCAGGGACAACAGAGTGAGCTCCATGACAAAATCTGTGTAATAGACATATGTTCCCTTTCCTTCCCACGTTCCTTCGTGGTTGAGGTCCCAGAGGTGAATTACATATCTGCAGTGAATAGAGAAGTATCATGTTAATGATTTACTGTTACAATTGAATTTGTTTTAAACATGATATACTACAGTCACATTTTTATAAATTTTTTACATGTTGTATCTTAAAATCAACTGTATGAGTAGACCTCCCTCACCACCCTCCCAAATTTCTACTCACCGTAAAATCACATGAGCAGTCCTCACTGTCACAAGAAGAGACTATTTAAAAAAAGAGATATTTTTTTTCTTTTTAGTAAAGTTTAGGATTGCTCAGACCAAATTTACTTTTACAAAGTGATAAAAGTTCTCAGTTCAATTAAAAATCAGGTTGGGGGGCTTCCCTGGTGGCACAGTGCTTGAGAGTCTGCCTGCTAATGCAGGGGACATGGGTTCGAGTCCTGGTCTGGGAGGATCCCACATGCCGCGGAGCAACTAGGCCCATGAGCCACAACTACTGAGCCTGCGCATCTGGAGCCTGTGCTCCACAACAAGAGAGGCCGCGATAGTGAGAGGCCCACGCACCGCGATGAAGAGTGGCCCCCGCTTGCCGTAACTAGAGAAAGCCCTTGCACAGATACAAAGACCCAACACAGCAAAAATAAATTAACTAATTAATAAACTCCTACTCCCAACATCTTCTTTAAAAAAAAAAAAATCAGGTTGGAGGTCGGGGACTTGGAGGAGGGTAGTTACAAGGTACCAGTTATAAGATAAGTCCTGGGGATGTAATGTACAACATGATGACTAGAGTTAACTGTGCTGTATGGTATATTTCAAAGTTGTGAAGAGAGTAAATCCTAAGAGTTTCCATCACAGGGTAAAAAACAATTTTGGGGGTATGAATATGCGATGATACTTATCGTGGTAATCATTTCACAACAAATGTAAGTCATTATGCTGTACACCTTAAACTTATACAGTGCTGTATGTCAATTATATCTCATTAAAACTGAAAGAAAAAAAAAGCAAGTTACCAACCATTTTATTTCATGTGCTTTAAATTTCCATGGAATATTTTCATGACCTAGAAACAACTTTTATTGAGCATTTTCCTGTTAATAGGTGGCAACCAATTACACCTGTCCATCTCCTGGGCATGCCTTCTACAATCTTGAGGTCACTGAATTTGACAATCACTTATATTTTATACTGCATTAAGTCACCATAACTGATTATCCTAAGAGGGTGTCTGAATACTTGGCGACCCTATAACCAAGGTACGGCTTAGGTACTACTATCCTAGATATGAATCCCTGCTCTCTATATAATGCTTTCTGCACCCCCTTCACCCACACAGAAGAAAACAGATGAAGGAAATCAATAACAAAATAAGACCCTCACAGTATTCTGTATTAAAGAAACTGATACTAAGAAAAATTTCTTCTTAATCTAGCAGAATAAATCTGTTAACATGCTTTACGTTTGAGATCAGGAAACTCCCGTTTACAAATGGAAAATATTTTACATAGAAGAGAAACAGTATAAACATAAAAATATGATTTAGTTCAAAATATCAAATCTGTAACATAAATTATCTTAAAAAAATTAATGAGCTAAAATTAAAATATGCCCTATGACCCAACAGACCTATTTCAAATGTCTTTAATTTTAGGTATACCCTTTTTCAAACTTTGGCCTAATACTAATTAAAAGTTAGAGAAACAAAAAAGGAAAACCTAGTATCATTCAAATGGTGATTTATAGTAAAATATATCTAAAGCAAACTAATTAATGTCAGAGTAAATAAAATTTTAAACACATTTTTTTACATTTGTATACCTTTCACATACAGAAAGTATTCAACTAGGATTGCAAATGTTTTTATTAAGTACTTAAATGTTCTT